AATGAAATATAAAGCTCCTTTGAACTCCAAGAAAAAGGGTGATTCAGTGTCAAAGAATTTAGATCTTGTGTCTTATTTTATTGACATTGCTAGAAAATTTGTGTGCAGATCCAAGATTACAGTTTTGGGTGTTAAAATCATGTTAGAGTTTTCTTAGCATTGTTAGAGGAGTTCGAATACCTTTTCACATTGGATATTGGCTCCTAACCTTTATTTTCTTCAAGAAACTGGTCTTTGTTAGCAAAGAGTGCATGAATGATAGAACATTGTGCTCCATAGAATGAGACTCCAAAATTTCAAAGTTTTAGAAAAAGGAGCAGAGCATCCCGACCATCCTCCATCAATAATCTGTGTCAAGCGGGTCGACTTCACTGAATCAGTTGTAGACTTAGTTGAGCTTATTGAGAAAAATAATTAAAGGGGCTAAGAAGTGTTGTACTTGGGTGAATCTTGTGGTATTACATGGGACTCAGCAGGATCTCAAATGCGAGTTGGCTCAGGCTAGTGCTAGGTCAATTTGTCGAGTTTTCAATTACTAGGTACATTGCTTCCTAAGATTGAATGTTTTCTTTCCTTTATGGGAATAGATTTGCTTGTGATTTCAACCTGAGACGTAGTGTTACAATCATCAAAAAGGTAACCAATTAAGCCAATGCCTGAATCAAAAGTCTGATACTGTCTTAGATAGAAATTCAAATGCTTTAAACTTTTGGAATACTTTACAGCATTTAGAAGACAAAGAGTCATACTCTATGTCTCCCCCCCCCCCAAGAGTGTAGTGGCTGTTAGTTTTCTGCCTCCTCAAGAACCATACTTTATGTTGGCCCCTCAAGAAAGAGAGGGCGGGGGAGCTTGCGGGAGGGAGAGATGCAGTGAGAGCGAGGCCACATGCCCAGAGCCCTCTTTTCCTCTGGGCACGTGACCAAAGCCCCTACCAAGTTCTATTTTTTTACTTTTTCTCTTCTCTTTTTTTATTTTTATTTTTATTTTAAGTGCCTCCTGCTTCAGTAAGTCATCATTCGGCTCAAGCCAGGTCCAAATCCATGGCCCGAGCCAGGCTTCAAAACATTGTTCTTAAGTATCCACATGGGTCAAAGTGTCAGCACATGTAATTTATTTTATTTTTTTCATCTAAAACTCCGTTAAATCTCAACTAATTCTAGTTTATTTTATTTTCTCATCTCATTCGAATCGAGGAAAGTCATTCAAGACAGTACATTAGGTCTTTTACGCATATAAAAAGACCTAATTGTATATTATTCAACATGGAGAAAGTATAGTATAGTCATTGAAAAGATCTAATCCTAAGTATCACCTTTCAATCGATGATGATGGAGAGATATCGGGATCCATGATAACATGGCACAAAAAAAGTGATATGCCTCACTGGAAAAGGGTTGTGGTCGCGATGGTAGCACATCCATACCTCAGTTGCACGTTGCTCGTTCTAATCCCATTGATAGCTTCAAAAACCACTGACTATTTGAGAAAACGGTTAAGAGCCTCTCATCCCAATTGAATTACACAAAAAATAAGCCACGGGCATTTTATCTTGTAAAAAAAATAAAAGTGGTATGCCACCCTCTCTCTTTCTGTCCATTTGCTACCCATTTGCTACGAAAGTAAAGATACCTTGGACCACAAATTTTACATGATCATATGAATCATAATTTAGTCTCACTTTAACGGGTCTTTAGAGGGCAATCCCTGACTCGTGAGTTGGAGCTTCCCTTTCCAATGATCGGATCCACATCATAGGACCAAAAAGCCATTCTTTTAAAATATTTTAATATGAGTCATGGAAAGCACATGTCTCCTGGCTTTAAAAATCCTTTAAAGGCTCTTTAAAATATGGCGAGGATGGTTTAATGGCTTTCAAATGCCACCAATCAAACGATTTGGGATCTCGGCCTTTTCATTCGGATCGTATTTGAAAAAATGCTTATAATGTGGTCCTCAAGGACCAATTATATATTTAGTCTCACCGGCAAGACTCCTTTAGTCAAGGATTTTTATTACTAGTTATTAAAAACATCTTGGATTTACTTTCTATTCATTATCATCATCATCCGAGCCTTATCCTAACTATTTTGGATCCTATACCTAAATCTTGTTCCGTCATTTGGCTCTATCAAGAGCCATACCTATTTACCTTCCATTCAGTTAAAACATGAAGGAAAAAATCATTTTGGGATTTTAAAACCCCCATGTTTGATCATTCTTCAAATCAAATGGATGATCCATAATCAATCTTGGAGTGGAAATTGATATGGAGAATTGTTTAAAGTTCCACATTTTGTTTACCTAATTGATTGAGAATCATTTTAAGGTTTTGGTTTCAAGGGAATCTCCACCATGGTGTCTTTTAGCTGACAAATATACGTATAAAAGCACCAAATCTTTTTCCAAAAAAGCAGATTCACACTATTGAGGCCTCACAAGCATCGACTAGTGATTCTCAAATGCGCCATTGACGAAGACTTGAGGCTTAAGTAATATTAGTTCCTATCAAAAATTCAAGATCTTCATCATGTTTCAAAATTGACGCGAATAAATATTTTGGCTTAATCGATTTAAGGATGGAAAAGATTCAGATTTTACAAAGCAATTTATTAATGGGTGCGGTTTGTATAGAGCCGAGGATCTAAACAATCAAAGTAAAGCGTACCTTTAAATAATGTCGAGAAATGTGGTTTCAATACCGGAATTTTTTGTGATAGCCTAAAAATATATTTTCATCTTTAGTTATAAAATTTAAAGCTTAAAAACTAGTGTAGATCGGGCAGATCTATGAGAACTTGAAAATCGTGAAAATTGATGGTCTAAAAATACATTACAAGATGAACTATTTCCAAAACTTGAAATCTATTTTTTTTTTCTCATGTCCATGCATCCTGAAGTCGATATGACCAATATGATGATATTTGGACATCAAAACAACCTCTTCTAGTGAAATTTTTAGGTGGGCTCTAATTTGATTGTTTAGACCTCAGCTCTATATAAAATTGTTATTTTATAAATAAATCAAATTAAAAAGGTGCCTCAAATTTCAAAATTTCGACTAGATTTTTACTAATTTTTTAGTGGGTTATGCCTGATACGAACTTGGAGGTTGCGTTAATCCATTAAAGCTCTTACCAACAACCACAAAGCCCACCCACCAAACTAATCACGAAGTCCGAAAATTTTGTTTTTGTGAACTTTATAATTATTTAATGACACTCTTACAACCACTCATTCTAAATTTTAAAAAGATATAAATAATAGTGACTTTTATATACAAAACATAAATGATCTATTCGTATACAATCTCTTTTAACTACCAAATGACTTCCAAATTCATATTTTTCCAAATGTCATTTTCTTTCAATTAAAATAGGTTACCCCACCTCCTTGGGATTCGATCAGGGTAGGACATAATGACCATATGTTAATCACTCAAGTAGATAATAAGTCCTCATTTCAATTAATTATGTTTAATCTCAAACAGGTGCACTACGTACAAAGACAACACACCCTTCCAAACAAAAAAGAGTAGGAGGAAAACCATGTCTCTTTCCTGAAGTGGGAGAAATGGAAAGCGCTCGGAAAAAGCTAAAATATTTCTACTCCCCCAAGAGTGTAACACAAAACCTAATCTAATAAATTTTGGGATGTAATATCTACAACCCAAAACCTAATCGACCTAATGATTTCCAAAATAAAGTATCTGCCTCAAAATTGAATAGAAACCATCCAATTTTTGAAGATAAAGACCTAAGTGTTAAAAAACTTAAAATTCAAAATTTTTCTTTGAAAATAATCATCTAGTAGTTCTTATGTGGTCCTCAAAATTTTAGACTCAAACACTCTTTCTAGCTAGGTGTTTTCCATGAGGAAGTAGATGCATAATACGGTCCCGCAGCAGTATAGTATATGTGGTCATGGAAAAAAGTCTGGCCTTTCCTTAATTTGAAGACGCAGGTCTCAAACTTTAAAGGCCTAGATGTCCCTTGCTCAATTTGAAAGGCACACATTCCAACCATGAGGTGGTGGGCTTAACCCCCAGCTCACCTACCAATCCAAAACTTCTCATAAAAAAATATCATATGAATGACTAATATTAATAAAACATATATAAAAATACAAACATCATAGTCCTAGGAAAAAGTATTAAATTTTAAAAAACCTTATTATTCTATAGATTAAAAAAATTATTATTATTTGTCAACAAAAAAAAAAGAAAAAGTTTATATAAGGTTTGCACCTTTATGGTGTAGAATTACAGATACATCAAAAAATCCATTGAAAAAAGTAGTTTTAATGTTGAAAAACCATAATCATTTGATTGATCATCTCGGACCTCTAGATGTATCACCATAAAAAATAAAAAAAATTTAAGTCTAAAAAATAGTGCATTTTACAACATATTATCTACACCGTTTATTTTCGAGATTTTCATATATTTATAGATCTCTTTAATTTGAACCACTTTTTAAATTTAAAATTTTATATTTAAATATAAAAATAAATTTTAAGATAATTTTAAAAATATTTTACAACAAAATTACATACCATCAAAAAATTTGAAGGCGCACCGACCTCTACAGCTACGGATGGATCAACTGCACCAAAAAAATACAACCCTTATTATTCTAGGGAAAGATGCACAATTTTTGCGAAAGGAGTGTACCATCGAGTAAGAAAAAAAAAAGAACAAGAAGGTCGACAAAATGACTATTTCAACCCTCTAGTGGCTATCTCCTCTTTCAACTCAAGTACAGTAATATGATGTGACCAGAAAACTCTCCACTACCAATCTCAGTGCGATAATTCCTCCCCCTTCATTTTCCAATCTAAAACCCACTCAATGCCTTCAAAGAAAAAACGCTTGAAAATGGAAATCCCCACCACCTCAAAAGAGAGATTAGAGAGAGAAAGAGAGGAGAGGGAGAGGGATAAATACCCAGACACAGTTGCAAGAAGGAAACAGAAGAGAGAGAAAGAGAGGAGAGAGAAAGTTTATAACAGCACATGTATTCCACTATTATGGAGACGAAGAGGTGTACATGTTTCCTGATATCAGCTGGACCTTTTCCAAACCTAGAGAGAAAGAGAGGACTTGTGTTTGTTTGCATGTTTTTGCAAAATATCAGTAGGCCGTAACCTGATACCGGGTTTCGGGAGGGATGAGCCAGAAACTGTCTTAATCTTTGGCTTTTTATTCGCAAAGTGGCCGCTTTTAGGACTCGAACTCACGGCTACCCGAACTTTTTTACTGTCACACCAAATGAAATGATAGCCCTTAGGAATTATCAGCTAGATACTTCCTCTAAGAGCTTGTATCGCCTCACCTTACCCCTTGAAAGTTGCCGAGAAAGCCCTGCCTTAGCAGCTGCATTTACAAGGTCCTCAGACTTGGTCATCTCCTCCTCTTTACGCCCAATGCACCCTCTTTCTCTCTTCGCCTCATCGACGGGCTTCTGCTTCTTCACTGCCTGAGAATTCGCGGGCGCCCCTCTCTGCAATTGGCCCGATGAGCCCAGGAGAGGCGGCGATGGCCTTTTCAAGCCCACCCCATTTCCATTATCGTTTAAACAGAATGAAGAGGCAGATGAGGATCTAATGAGTCTTTCTTCTTTATCTCTAAGGCACCAGTTGCAGGTCCTGTATTTCTCCATCTTTGGGTACAGATCGCTGCAGTATCTGAACATTGCAAAAGGCCGCGTTAGATAAAACCTGTATCACATGTTTAACCATTATAATCTAGAGAGAGGCCTCGCAAATTGGGGTGAGAAGAGGCCTATAGAGAGAGAGAGTCTCAAAGAGAGAGTCTCAAATCGGAGAGAGAGATTCTGAACATTACATATTAAGAGAGCGAGGATTACTTGTGTTGGGATCTATGAAGGCATATACGGCACTGGAAGAGTTCTTCAGCTAAGCCGTAGTCGCCACACATGCAGCACTCTCTCTCTAAGTTGGGCTTTTGGGAGTCGTCTTCTTCGATGTGGTCATCTACTGTTGATGGTGGCGGTGGTCGTGACTTCATCATCGTCTTCGAAACCAGAGTTGCAGAAGAGAGAGAAAGAGTTGCAGAAGAGAGAGAAAGAGCTGTAGAAGAGAGAGAAAGAAGGTGTAGAGAGAGAAAGAGAGGAGCGCCGTATACATGAGGTCGGGTTCCGTCCAGGGCTGAAGACTAAAGTCTGTTACATGTGTACGACTTGTCCTCTTGATATCTGACAATACCGTTTGTGTCCCCCTGTTTTCTGATATTGCCATGCACGTACCTCTATGACGCAACTTTCGGCTCGGACTTCAACGCATAAGTTTTAGTCACCGGGGAAACCCTCAAAAGGACACCTGTACTATACGCCCGAGGGAGCATGGATGATTTTTCTATAATGCCTCCTAAGTTTTAAGAGAACAAAATAAAGCATCATTTCAAATCCTCATCCCGAAAGCAATTTTTTTCAATAGAGGTTTCCATGGTAGCACTAAAATCAATCTTTAATACTATCAATAAAAATTAAAAATAAAAAAAATATACATCTTGTAGATCTATGAACTCTTATTTTTGGGATGAAACAATCCGTTTAAATAATTTGTTATAATATAAGCTATATTTAGAGCTTGAAATCTTATTTTTTTTAATTTAAAATTTCAATAATTATATTATAATCACTAGATGATTATTCTCAAAATAAAATGTTGAATTTTGAAAGTTTTAACACTTAGATCACAATATCCTACAAAATTTTAAGTAAAAAATATTCTACTCCTTTAGGAGTATATTATCTATTTACTCACTCCAGTAACGCCCCACCTACGGTTAATGTTAGCTCCCCAAAACTTGGGGATATAACCTCCGAATCTCTTTAACATATGGATTAACTTCATAAAAAAAATTCTTAACCTCAAAATTATTTTTTCCCCCTAATTACAGCCTCCAAGCACCTGAACAAAATAATATCTCAAGATTGAATAGAAACCATCCAAATTTTAAAGGATGAGATATGAGGGTTAGAAAATTCAAATTTCAAAAATAATGTAGTGATTCTTAGATGGTTCGAGTAGAAGTAAACTATGCTCCCTAAGGAGCATAGTCTTTGTTTCTCCAATAAACTCGAAGGCACGTGAAGACTAATTAACACTTGAAAAATGACAAAGCTAAGAAATCGCACATACTAACCCTCATAGTTTTCTTATTTCGGCCGTGGACCTAATTTTGGGAATATAGATATCTATACCTATTTAGGAGTGAAACACGGCTATGCTTGGTACAATCTCAAATTCAATTTCTTCACATACTTGTGTAGTATTGTTTATCAACAAAATGGTCCTCATGTTGCACAAAAAAAAATAAAAAAATAAGAAGATAAATCTTGGTTTTTTTGGTTCACCTTTACAAATCGTTGACAAATAGGGTCATGGAATGCGGGGTGAGTAATATTGTCGTGGAAAAATAAATACAAGATAATGAAGATAAATCTTGGTTTTTTTTTTCTTCAAAAAAAAAATAGAAGTTAATATGGGTGAATCTTCCTGTTTTCCGTCATTGCTAAGGTCGTTGTCTCAAGACTATATTTACCTCCCTAACTTGTGTATATCAATTTGCAAAAAGGTCAACTCTGGGATATCTGAAAACAAAAGATCTCTAATAATTTCACTCGTAAAAATTTATAGAGAGAAGTATGAGAGAGATACAAAGTGCACATCAAACACTCATTCGCCCACATATATGCGTGCTCACATATGTAACCACACTCCCTCCATTGTTCCATGAACATAAGGTTTGAGATTTTCTATATAACTCCTTGTTCTATTCTTCGCCCACATACACGCATGCCCACATATATAGCCACACTCCTTCCATTATTCTATGAACATAAGGTTTAAGAGTTTTTCCATATAAATGTCACTATCTCCTTATTCTATTCCTTAATGTAAGGTTACCGAGTATTTTCGTATAGATGTCACTCTCTCCTTATTCTATTATTTAAAAAGGGATTAAAGACCGCATCGTTTTTCTTTTTTTTTTATTAAAAATTTAGGAAATAACTATTATGAAATCATATTATTTTGAAATAATAACTACTATTTTCAAACCAAAAATGCTGACATAAATAACTCCCTTGTTTGTTCGGTATGTTAAATAGACTCCGACACATGTGTTAGCATCACATACGAATACCATGTCATAATACTAACCCCAAAATTGGTCATTTAACGCACATTCCAACAAACATATCTGCACATCAAAGTGGAGGTGGGATATTAGGAAATACTAAAGTAATTTTATATAAAAATTTATTAAAAAGAGGTTAACATAACACATGCCAAAAACACCATAGACATGCCTGTCCATACTGGTTAAAGATGCCAAAAGATATTCTACTCCCTCAGGAGTATACTGTTCATTTACTCCATCAGGCAAAACCCCACCCGGGATCAGTTTTAGGACCCCAAATGTTGGGGATATAGTCTCTTTAAAACATAGGCTAACCGCAACACTTTTTTTTTTTCCTAATTGCACCCTCTAAGCAATTGAAAAAAATAATGTCTCAAGATTGAATAGAAACTGTCCAATTTTTAAGGGGTGCAATCTAACTGTTAAATAACTCAAATTTCAAATTTTGTTTTTTGAAATAATTATTTAGTGATTCTAAAGTGGTTACCAAAATTTTAGATTGAAAAAGTTCTCCTAAATAAGTCATATAACCGAAGAAGTAGAAATAAACTATGCTCTTGAGGGAGCAGAGTATATGCTCGCTCCTTAATAGCAACGGCTAACTATGAAAAATCTGGGTAAAGCAGCTGCCGGTAGAGCGCGCTAGCGCTATTATTTATTTGCTCCTTAATAGCAGCGGCTAACTATGAACCCGTATATTATCATTGTTGGTATCGGGGGCTATTTTCTCTAGCCGTGGGAGTTCTCAACCCCATCAAACCGCTTCCTCTTCTCCGGGGGTGGGTGGGGCTGTTGTCTCTACTATATTATAGATACTACTACGAACGACTGCTATCTTGGCTTCCGACTAACGATGCACGAGAACGACTCAGACCTATTTGTGGAATGTGGCTAAGCGATGGGTATAGTGCTCATTAAAGATTCTTTCTCTTTTGAGTAAGCAGGGTGGATTGAAATCTCGTCATGTCAATTTGTGGTTTCGGACCTTGAACACCTAGCTAAGAGTTTAGCTGTCTAGAACCCCATGAGAAATTGGGAAAAGGAAAATAAGTTAAAAAATATAAAGAAAATAAAATATAAATAAAACAATTGGGAAACAAAGATAAAGTATATCCTCTTTATGTTTTTGTAATAAAACTTAGAGCCCGTTTGGATGCACCCAAAATTGCAATATTTTTAGATTGCAATTCAAAAATCTTGTGAAATAGTTTTGAGCTATTTGGACAACCACAAACTTTTATTAGATTTTTAGATTAAAATAAAAAATTATGCAGTATCAAGACAAACGCTACAATAAAAACAAAAAAGTCAAGTCAAAGTTGAATTTTTTCGGATGAAAGTGTGGCCTTCTCTCACCCGTTCAAAACGCGATAAAATATGCCACATTCCAATCCGCCATGAACAACAGAAACGCCCATCTTTTGCTCGAAGCTTCAACACCGAAAGAACCCAAACTCGCCACTTCCACTCTGCTTCTCCTCGAACTAGAGCTATTCAGGTGTTGATAGTTCTTCCTACCCCAATAGCTCCTTTTGCTCTACATTTTTCGGAAATGAGAAGTGAAAATCTGGTTTTAGAGAGAGGTTATTGGGTCCTAAGCTTTAGAGATCTAGAGGGAGAAACGAAGAGGCAAATGCATGGATGATTTGTGTTTTTGTTATCTGTTGGCCCTTGATGTAAGAGAACTAACGAAAGAGAGCAGGAAATACATAAAAATAATAAGTTTCGAGAGCGATGTAATCGTGAGTGAGAAATAGAGACGCATGGGTTCTCCTGCGCTCCGCCCCCACGTTATGAGAATTTAGAGAGAGAGTGGATAAGTAGGATTTGATGCGGTGCACATTTTAATGAAGTTTCTCGTATAAATGTTTAGAGGGAGAGAGAGAAAGAGAGAGGGGCAATTTAATTTTAATATGTTCACACGATCCAAACAGTCCAACAAACTGATAACAAAATATTATAATATTTATTAATAAGATTGAAAAAAGTTACAATTTTATTGAATGTAAATGTTTTTTTATTTGACATCCAAAAGGGCCTTTAGTTTTTTTTTGAATTTCAACATTAGAATTGCTAAATTTGACCTCTCTAGACCATGCTTTTACTGGATTTTATTTTTTCACTATCATATAATTTACTACATGCTCTGGCTTTAAATGGATATGAAAACCCAAAACACAGTACAAACCTCCTCTTTCCACCATTAATGGATCTGGAGCTCCAGTTTTTCTTCTAAATTTCTCTGTTCTTTTCTCAAAAGCCAGATCTTCTACTCCGTTCCAACCGAAAATGAATTGGGTACATTGGGTTTGAAACTCCGAAAACAAGATGAGAAGGAATAAGGTTGTAGTATTGGGCCTGGTTGGGAGAGAAGCTAAAATGAGAGAGGACGAGAGGGTTGGAGAAAGACTTTCGAGGATACTGTCTTTCCAATAAAAAATGAGTAAACTTTCTAGGTAATTGCAAGGATCAATGTTTACGAAATATAGCTAAAGTATATTTATGTTTATGTAAAAATGAATAGCTAAAAATATTTTATTGTTAAAATCCTTTATTTTATGGAACTATATATCTATAGAGAGGATATGGACTAAGCCACGTATAATGTTCTTAATAGTAGGTCGGTGAATTACGGTCATGCTGTCCTAGACCATTTTAAGATTTTTCTGGTGCATGTCTTCTCAAGACAAACTGAATAATTGTGCTCAATCTCAACATCATTTATATCTTTCATTTTAAAAATGTAGCACAACTGCTCTTGAGCATGTTTGAAAACAGAAAGTTACAAGAGGAAGAAGAAACTCCTCCATTATTATTCGAGTTTCGGGATTAATAAAAAAAAGAACTTTAAATGCGAACTCCACAATAGTGTTTCGTGATTGATAAAAAAAACTTTAAATGACTCTTAATCTCCCTGTCCTAAAAAAAGTTCCGACCGAAAGGTCCGAACTTAAAAAAAGAACTTGGTTTAGGACTTCACATCACCCCGTAAACTTAGCTTCGTTTTAGAAGTTCAGCCCCCCAATAACCCTATCCCTCTTCGTTCCCATCTTCCCAATCTTCGCCGCTGAGCACCCGCTCTTCGCAGCACTACCCCTCTCCTCTGTTTTTCGAGTTCGGCCACTGAGCCGGCCCTCTGTTCGCAGCCCGCCACTATCTTAGGCCGACCTCTCTCTTCTCACGCAGCTCTCGCTAGGGTTTACTCAGCTGTCCTTGAGCTATTGATCTTGAGGTATGCTATTGAATTTATTCTCTCTGTGTTATTGATCTCCGTGTTTGTTATTGATATCTGTGTTTGTTCTT